CGTGGAGGGCGCGAACGCCGGCAGTGGGGTGTGCTGGGCTCGCGAGGTCACGGGCAGAGGGTGCCGGGCTGGGCTTCCCGGAGCCGAAGGGTTGCCCGAGGTAGGCGTTCCTGGGAGAGGGAACCACAGGACGCCCTCGGCCGGGAGCGGGGTTTGCGGAGGAGATCGGAAAGCTCAGCCGCTGCGGTCCTCGTGGAAGTCCGGCGGGAGAGGAGCCGGGCAGTGTCTGGAGAGGGCGATTCTCGGACTTGGATTCCGGATCCTTGGGGATGGCGGGCGGGGGCCAGGCTCTCGGAGGGATGGATTTTCGGGAGTGGATGGAGACACCGGGGATGGTGGGCAGTGAAAGAAACACGCGGTGGTGGTTTGTGTTCCTGCCGCTGGCGGCAGGAGACCTTAGAGTTGGCAGTCGAGGGAGGCTGGCCAGGTAGGACGAGAAAACTAGTACTAGAGAGAGAGCTTTTAACGGGGCACCGAAACGAGCCATCGGGAGATTTAAATTCTTTAATAGTGCCGCCAAACTAATTAATTTGCGCATCACAGTAGTAGGTTTGTGTGTATTTGTTGCTTCGCGGCTGTGTTGATGTGAATTTGGAAGGTGAGGGAACGCTCAAAGGGAATTACGGTGAAGTTGATGTTTAGTAAAGAAAAAGTAAGATTCTGCGCAAATTTAACTGTGTAGTTAAGTTCCTTTACATTGTTAGCAGTATTTTAATGAACGAAGTGGTCTGAAATACAGAGTTGGAGTGTGAAATTGTGAAAGACCAGAAGAAAGCACAGATAATAGGTACTTCGGGTTAGTAGATAATCCGATGGAGAGGGATGAAATGGAGAGGGAGTTTTAAAGAATCTCAGTGATAAATTTTGCCTTAAAAATATGTGTGCTACTTAAAAGTCATCTTGAGAGGTTATAACTAAATATATAAAAGTAATCTGAAATATTTTTTCTTATACTTTAACTTCACCATCATTTTAAACATCGTTAGAAAAGCTAGCAAAAAAGTACCTTAGGCAGTATAATTTAAACTGAGGCATAACTGTGGAAAGCTAGATGCTGCTGGGGGTAGGGATTAATTTTTAGGAAAAACGTGACAGACAATATTTGTAATTTTACATAAAGCTACTTCCAATTTTGGTATACTTTGCAAAAAGTCTTGAAGGCACTTAGAAGTGTTTCAAAGAGCATCAAGTAAATCTGAAGTACAATTAAATTTGAAAAGAGCTGGTGATACCCTCATTTCTCAATTCTAGAAGAGCTATGCAGCTTATTGAATTTATAATTGTGTTACTGTCTTGTATGATGAAAAATGTTCAGTTTAAATATTGAGGGTTAAACAATATGTTATTTATTTGGATCCACTTAGGCAGTATTCACAATCACATTCTGGACTCAATCCCACTTTACAGAAAAAATGACTCTTAGGTTGAAAGTTATATTAAAATAAAAAATTGTACTAATTCTTTGTTATACTGGTATTTGGTATTCTTTGGAGCTAGACATATGACAATGGATTAAAATGATGTGGGCTGGGGATTTAGCTCAGCGGTTCGGTGGCCTGCCTTGCAAGCGCAAGGACCCGAGTTCAATCCCTGGTACCAAAAAAAAAAAAAAAAAAAAAAAAAGACGTGAAGGCTTGATTTTTTTTCCCCCCATACTTGAAAGAGATTTCCATACAGACAGTCTGAATGATTTTATAGAGAAAATTATATGAAGATGTAGAATGCCACAGGTAGGCCATAACGTACATTCTCATGATTTTCTAAGAGAAAATCCGTCAGAAATAGTTGCATCAAATAATTGGCACCAGAAACAGTGAATATATAAAAAAAGAAATCTGAAAAATATTCCATGGAAAGGAGTCTCAAATAGAGAATACTTAACATATTTGCATTTGGAAATGCAAAAATATGGAAAATAAAACATATAACTTTTATATATATAAGCTCAGTAGTCTTTTTATTTTCTTTTTTCTAATTTAGATCTTGGTTTCACGCTATATTACCCGGGATGTCCCTAAATTGCTACACTCAAGCCATCTTCTTGCTTCAGCCTCTGGAGTAACTACAGGTGTGCTCCACACCACTCGCCTTTCCTTTCTTTTTTCCATTTTCTTTTTTGTTTTTTGTCTTATAAAAGACAGTACTGAAAGACAAAACCAGTTACTAATCTGACCCCTTAGGAAAGTCAGAAGGCGGCATATTTTGATAATCAAACTCTTTTCATCTGTCCCTAGAACATCATAGAAAGTTATTTCTGCAGATGCAGGAACAAACTAGGAGATTGTATAATTTGTCTAAGACCACATCATTAGGAAGTGACAGAGGCAGGATTGGAACTCAGATGTGTCTGATATCGAATCAAGTGCTCCTTTAATTATACCAGGCTCGTTGAGACTATACTGACATTATACTGAATTTAGCTGTTTGAATAGAATTTTTAAATTGCAATATGAATGAGTTTACTGCTAACAATGAATATTCTGAGAAAATTCAATTTCTGATACAGTGAAGTTGGTTTAGCATAATGTCTGCCCCTTGTTTATAGCCGTATAATGAACATAATTACATTTTTCAATGAAATGACTGAAATAGTTTATTTCTGCTCCTAGAGGAGAAAATATGTTTTTTTTAAAGTATAAAATTGCAACGTTAAAAATTTTTAAGCAGAGCATGGTGGCACAAGCCTGTGATCCCAGCACTCTTGAGAGACTGAGAGTGGTAACATTGAGCCTATTCTGGGTAATTTAGCAAGATCCTGTCTCAAATAATAAAAAGAGGGCTGAGGAGGTTGCAGAGTGTGTTGGCCCTGGGTTCAATCCCCAGTACCACCAACCCACAAAAAGCATTTTTATTTTGGCAACTGAAAATAAAAGAAAAAACTATAGAACATTTGCTGTTAAAAGTAATTTTGATTGTTCATATTCTTTTCCATTGTTAGAACATTCCAAAACATTGTGTTCTGATAATGCCTGTTGTGTACTGTGTTGTGTGTGTGTGTGTGTGTGTGTGTGTGTGTATGTTTTGATACAGGGCCTGTCTATGTATTGAGACTGACCTGGAACTCACTGTGTAGCCCAGGCTAGTCTGGACCTCACAGTGATCCTCCTGCCTCAGCCTTCCAAGTGGTGGGATTACAGGCCTGTGCCTCCATGCAGCTCTGTTGTGTACTTTGGTTAAGGGTGTTATCAGGCAATAATGTTTTGGTTTTTGGTTTTTGGTTTTTTGAGACAGGGTCTTGCTCTGTAGTTTAGGCTGGGCTTGAACTCACTATGTACCCCAGGCTGTCCTTGAACTCTGTAATCTTCCTGCCTCAGGCCCCTGAGCACTGGGATTACAAGTGTACACCACCATGCCTGGCAACATTAATATTTTGATGATGACACCTATAATAGAGAAATAAATATATTGAAAACTAAGGTGTATTTTTTGGTCACTTGGGGAATTAAGTAAATAGGAATTTCTTTCTTTTTTGAGACAGGATTTCGTGTAGTTGAGACTGATCTGGAACTCACTATGTAGCCCGGGCTGGTCTCAGATTTAAAGTGATCCTCCTGCCTCAGTCTCCCCGAGTGCTGGGATTATAGGCGTGCACCACCATGCTTGGCTAAATAGGAATTTCTAAGACACATAATATTCAGGTTTCTTTTTTCTTCTCTTAAAAATAGAAATATAAGATAATGGTATACATATTACTCTGTAGCTTGCTTTATATCATTTAATATTGTAAACATCTTTCCAGGTCAGTACCTGTAAACTTGACTTAATGTTTGTAGTTAAATAACATTCTAGAGTGTGTATGAATCATAAATTATGATACGTTGTGCCAGTAATTGACATTGAGATCATCTCCTCTGTCCCTCACCTTTTTTCTTTTATTTTTTTTCTTTTTTTGTGGTATCAGGGATCAAACTGAGGACCTTGTGCTTGTAAGGCAGGTGGTAGAACCACTCAGCCAAATCCCCAGTCATCCCTCTATCCATTTG